TCATTCATTGTTGCACATTTTCCTCCCTGCCCACCCCTCCCCCTAGTTCGCTTTTCTATTTGAAAAGAAAAAAAAAATTATTTCATTGTTATACAATTCTCTCTCCCCCAAGTCCACAGTACACTTTACTCTGTATTTCTTTATCTGGAATCTTGTCATGAAAATGATATCTAACCATATATTCCTTTTAAACAGTTCTCTCCCTCATCTGTTTCAACGCAATATACATTATCCCCTCTTCTCTTAGGTTCCCCCCCCAACCCTGATGTCAGCTCCATTTTACAACAGTGGCACTATGCAGTATTTGTCCTTTTGTGACTGAGATATTTCACTTAGCATAATGTCCTCCAGGGTCACCCATTTTGTATTATAGTTCATAAGTTTCTTGCTCTCTAAAGAAGGAAAAGCCACCTGTAACTCAAATTAAACTCTAGAATAAGAATGAAAAGGAAAGATGTAGGGATTGGGATCATTTAGGAGAAATTCTAGTTCTGAAAAAAAAATGTGGAAAGCGTCCCTCAAATCCCTTGAACCTGGATCTAAGCATGATTGGGCCAAAGATTGAAGGGCCAATACAGGTTGTCATCTTTGTATATAGAACTATAAAGTTGGTCTTCCCCAGAGAAAGACATTGTGCTCAATAAAGCAGAGGTCAATGAAAAAGAAGATGACCCTCAAGGGGATAGACTGACAGGGTGTCTGCAGTCATGGGTGAGCAGAGCGGGAATGGTGAGGATTCTGTTCTGTTCTGTTTGCACAAGGGGTCCTAGAGCCAACTGAGTGGCAGCCACAGTAATATGTCAGCCTTCAGACAGATGACACAGGAGCTGCTCGATTTAGTTGTTGCTCTGCTTGTTTCAACCAACCTAAAGTCAAAACTAATGACTAATTTCCTTGTCTCTACACATATTCCCTGGGTGCCCTTTCTAAGCCAGGTACCAGGAGAGTTTCTAGGGAGACATCTGTGAACAAGACGGACACAGCCTTTGTCCCCATGTTGTTCCAGGGCAGATAGACACTTCACATAATTGTTATCTACACATAACTACTGACTTGCAATTGTAAGCAGTGCTGCAAAAAGAAAGTGTTGAGATCTCCTGAAACTCTGCATCTATCATACTTTCCTTACCTGAAACAGAAGCCATGTCTGGAGACCACCCTTCAACCAAACAATAAAACACAAAATAATATTAATACCTCAGAGCCTTAAATTTCTTAGAAACAATCAATTATAAGAAGTCAGAAGGACAGCAGTTGCCGAAAAGCAAATATGATAAATTAGGAAGGAATAGAAAATCCAGATGAAAGGCCATGGGGGACCCAGGGTGAAATGGGGGGAGTGCGTAAACACTGAGGAATTGTCATCTGAGGAGCTAGTCTACTCTGAATGTTCACCAAAAACGCAAGGTAAAAAATTTTATAGAAAGCAAAATGTGGGGCTTGAAGACAATGTGTATCTTAGGGATGGATCATCTTACACGCTGGCATTAACTTAAGAAGATGGAATGTGTTGCTGTTTAATAATTAATCATTGTGTGTTTGGCCCTTTAACGCTCTTTCTCATGTTTTCTATTTATTCACTTTGCCCTGCAGAGTACACAGTACTCTTACCCTATTGTAGACAACTAAACTTTGTCATTGAGCTGGAATCCACCCAAAGCTGATCTCGTGCAGGTTTTTGGAAACTGACTGTAAATCACATGAGAGGAGACTGCCCATCTTTCTCTCTCAGAGCCACGGTGGATTTGAACCTTTGGGTTAACAGTGCAACTCCCTACAAACCTCCCACCAGAACTCCCTTCACCCTGTTTAAGAAAGATAGAAGTTAGTGCTTAGGAATCAGAAAAGGAATTCCCGGTATTCCCAACCAAGTCTGGTACTTACCGACCTTTGATCTTTAAATCCTGATCTCCGTCCATTCCACCCTATTGGTCCACTGGCTTCTCCCCCTGTTGTTGTTGTTGTTGTTGTTGTTGTTGTTGTTGTTATGTGCCATTGAGTCACCTGCGACTCATAGCCACCCTGTGTTCAACAGCTCCAAACCCTGCTCTGTCCTGAGCCAACCTTATTGTTTCTGACACACCTACCCCCCCTACCCCTGTCACTGAGTCAATCCATCTCATTGAGTGTCTTCCCATCCTGCGCTGTCCCTCCACCCTCCCAAACATAATGCCCCTCTCCAAGGACTGGTCCCTCCTTGCAGCATGCCCAAAGTATGTCAAACGGAGTTTCAGAAGCCTCCAAGGAGCAACCTGGTTTCACACTCTCCAGGACAAATCTGTTTGTTCTCTTGAGCTGAAATGTTAAGACGTGGTTTCTAGGAAACCATAATGAGGCAAAGTATCTCCAGGGGAGCTTTCCTGGGAGACAGTGGCATGGAGGATTGAGAGTCCCCACATTGATATCCGCCAAATGGCCAAGGGAAGCCTCCATGAGATGTGAAGACACATCCTAACTGCTCTGTGTTCTTCTCTGTCTTTGTACCTTCAGTAAGACTAAAAATCCTCTCTAACCCACAGATGAAGCCCCTCACTCAGTCTTGTTATTCCCTTCAGGAACAAGTGTGACCTCTGTCAAAATAAACAGGCATACTCCTGTCAATGTTATTACTCAAATCCAACTGTTCATCAGCTCCTCACAGAAGCCAAAGCTCTCCCAGATTTACTAATGAACTAGTCACCTTAGCTGCCATTTGTCCCAGGACTTGCTGTGCCTTCACCCTAATAGCAGCCTGCTAAAGGTGTACTAATAGGATCTCCAATTTGCAGGGAGGGCAGCTGTGGCTCAGAGGTGAAGTAACCTACCCACAGTCCCACATCATAAGTGTAGAACCAGGCTTCAAATCTACATTTAATGCTAAAGCATCACTACTACGCTTTCTCACCAAAAAAATGAAAATAAGGTTCATCACCTCTTCTCATACTTTCCTTCCAGGCTTTTTAACATCAAAACCTGAAAGTCACAACAGCAACCTTGAGATCATTTTCAATGGTCCTGGTACCCTCCTCACTGCCAGCTACAGAAACCCATCTCCCTCTGAGTTGATAATGTCCACCCACCATATCCCATCCTCCTGAAGGGAACTGGACTCACTAAAACTGAGTACTAAGGAATCCAGTTACAATAAATCAAGCTGCCAAACTATACAAAGACTCAAGGCATGAGAGATGACAAGGGCCTTGTTGTTGTTATGTGCCCTCCAGTCAGAACCAACTCATAGCTGATCCTCCAGCAGGTTTTCAGATGCTGTAAATCCTACAAGGAGGAGATTGCTCATCTTTCTCCCTCAGAACAGCTAGTGGATTTGAACTGCCTGCCTTTGGGTTGGCATCACAGCTCCTTTTCCCACTAGACCACCAGAGTTCCCTTGATAAAGTGGCCTTAGTTTTTTCCTTTACATTAAGGACAAATCATGTTAGTTAAGCTAGTCTTGCTTTCAACCCTTATAAACATCAAAACCAAACTCACTACCATCGAATCAACCCCCACTCACAACGGCCTTGGAGGACAAAGTAGATCTACTTCCCTAAATTTTACAAGTCCACAAATCTTTATGGAACCAGACTGCCACATCTTTCTCTTAAGGAACAGCTGGTGGATTCAAACTACTGACCTTTGGTTTAGCAGTGGAATTGCTTAATCACCCACTTAAAGGAAAGGGGGGGGGGAATTACAATGCTTCCACATCAACTGTTGTTTTTGTTGTTGTGTACCACTGAGTTGGAACCAACACATAGCTCACCCTCCAGCCAGTTTTCAGAGGCAGTAATCTCATGGGACTGTAGTCTTCAATATGGATGAAAGCCCAATATAAATCAAAAAGACAAAGATTCTCACCACTGGGCCAATTGGCAGCACCATGATAGATGGAGAAGAGATTGAGGTTGTTAACAATTTCAGCTTGCTTGGCTCCACAATCAACACCCTTGGCACCAGCTGTCAGGAAAGCAAAAGACAAATTGCACTGGGGAAATATGCAGTCAGGAACCTCTGCCCAGTCTTGATGAGTAACAATGTCGGTCTAGAGACTGAGGTGTGCTTGATCCAGACCATGGATTACCTGCTATGCATCAGACAATTGGACACTGTCTAAGGATGATAGAAGAAGAATTGATGCCTTTGAGTTGTGGTGCTGGAGTATTAAACATACCGGGGACCACCAAGAAAACAAATAGGTTTCTCTTGGAGAGGAGGGTAAAACCAAGTTTTCCCTTGGAGGCTAGGACTTTGAAACTCCCTCTCATATACTTTGGGCACATGGCCAGGAGAAGGACATCATGCCCGGAATGATGGAGGGACAGTTCAGGAGAGAAAGACCCCCATGAGATGGATTGACACAGTAAATGAGGTAATGAGGGGGTTAGGTGTGTCAGAATCAATGAGACTGGCTCAGGATAGGGCAGTTTCAGAGGGTCGCTTTGAGTCACAAGCAACAGCACAAAACAACAACAATCACGCGGGAGAAGTCTGCTGCTCATCCTTCTCTCTCACACGCCTTCAAGATTGCAGTACAGATTCTTAGCACTAGGCTCTTGTTGTTAGGTGCCCTCTAGTTGGAACCAACTCATAGCTGACCCTCCAGTGGGTTTTCAGAGGCTATAAGTCAAAAGTGAGGGATTATCCATCTTTCCCCCACAGAGCATCCAGTCGATTTGAACTATGTGCTTTTGGATTGGAAGCACAACTCGCTACCACTCAGCCACCAGAGCTTCCTCCCACATCAGCTAAAGAATTCTAATCAGTTCAACTATCATCTTGCACTCCCACTTCTCTTTCCTCTCCCCCTCACTCTCTTAATTCATTCTCTCTCCAAAACAGCAATAGCTGTGGCTCGAAATAAAATAGCAAACAGATTCTATTTTTCAGTACCTTTCTGTTTTCCCCCGAGTCGACTCCATGTGCCAGCATATTGTTTTAACTCCAATGGTGACACAGCATTGAGCTGTGAACAATGAAACATAAACACCAGTCTCATTTCTTTCCTCTTCTTTCTTCCTTAGGTGAAGGCAGCTTCCAAATACGTGGACGTACCTGTGAGTATTTGAAATTTCTTCTTTTCTTTTCTTGCTTCGGAACTTTAATGATGTTACTTCGCTAGTTGTTACTAAATTGCATAACCCTAACTTGTGTCACTGGAAAGAGAAAAGCCACAAGTATTTCCTACTGAAATTTTATTCAGTCAGGAAGAGGGCATGATCTCTTTCTTCCTTTGAGTAGTGGGGGGTCCTGTGTGAGGCTAAACCCTTTGGTTCACTTTCACTGTTGTTGGTTTGCCTGGTCTGTTTCATTCTATTATCCTTGTCCCTCCTTCCCGCCTGATTATATACCTTGGGAGTAGAGTTGTGAGCTGGAAATTTGCACAAGGGTGTCAGTGTTATTCAAAACAAATAAATTCTGAACTTGTTCTTTTTGGGGTCGATTTTGCAATTGTTTTAAGGTAACCTTACCAAACTGCTTATAATTAGTATCGACTTCATTAATAAAGAGAGCACTCAGAGTTCACAGATAAAGCACTTGAAGTTGCCCAAAATTTACATTTAAATTGAGGTTAAATACTACACATGAATGCAAGAGTGTGGGATTACCTGTGGTAAATCAGGATACATTTATAGACAGACTTTGCCCTGCTTATTAGCAAAATAAAATTGGAGAGATTTAAATATATTGCAATAAAGGAGGAAAGAAAATTATTCTCTTTCCTCATTTCTAACAAAAGAGGTGTGAGTCTATTATAAAATATTAAATTTAGAGGGCTTATCTCAACAGCCACCAAGGGTCTTCTACTGAACGTTTCTCATTCTGAACGTGGTTAAGTGGCCTCCTTGTTCAAATACTTATTTGTTAAAATTTGTTTTTTTCTGAAAGGATTTATAGTAACATTTAAATTCATTTCCCCAGGAAGCTAAGTGTGTAATGGTTTATTGGCTTATTTCTCAAAGGAAAACAAAATGGAAAATTGGAGTGAACTTAGCATTAGCATATATTTTGTTTGTTTAATGATAGAATGTGCAATCAATAATTATGCTTTGAATTTATATAATGCTTCTCATCAAGGGATCTCAGACCCCTTCACATAGATAGTCCTTATAATGGAGAATGAAAACAGTTCACGTAACTGCAGCAAAGAGAGAGGTTAAGTAATTTCCTTGCCCAAGCCCCAAACTATGAACTTTGAGTTCATAGGGAACAAGCAACCCAAAAGCTGGGTCTGTTATCCCAGATGTAAAATTGTTGTTGTTGTTATGTGCTATTGAGTCACTTGTGACTCATAGTGACCCTATGAACAACAGCCCTAAACCCTGCCCTATCCTGGGCCAATCTGTCTCCGACACACCTTAGCCCCATTACCCCAGTCACTGAATCAATCCATCTCATCAAGGGACTTCCTCTCCTGCGCTGTCCCTCCACTCTCCCAAGCATGACCTCCCTCTCCAAGGACTGGTGCCTCTTTGCAACATGTCCAAAGAATGTCGGACGAAGCTTCAGAATCGTTGCCTCCAAGGAGCAGCCTGGCTTCACCCTCTCCAAGTTTAACTTGTTTATTCTCCTAGCAGTCCATGGTATATTCAATACTCTTCTCCAGCACCAAAGCTCAAAGGCATCAACTCTCCTTCTATCATCCCTAGTCATTGTCCAGCTCTCTGAAGCATAGCAAGTAATGGCAAAGACCATGGCCTGTATTGGGCACACCTTAGTCTCTAGACTTACACCGTTGCTCCTCAGTAACTTGGAGAGGTCTCTTGACAGCAGACTTTCCCAATGCAATTCATCTTTTAATTTCCTGGCTGCTGGTACCAAGAGTGTTAATTGTAGAGCCAAGCAAAATGGATAGAATAAATCTAACTCTTGAGACTCCTGGACAACTTCAATAAGACGGCATATGTGGACTGCACAAGACTATATCCAGTGAGCAGTGGGCATTTCAGCAGCAGGCTTTGGACATGTGGTGATGGTGGTGGTGGTAGTAAAGGTAGCAAATTGCCCTCCTTCAGTTGTATGAGTACAGAAAGCTGAATGGATATATTGATATCACTGACTTTCAGCAGTGACTTAAATTGGCATTCTTAGCTCCCTATCCCATAATCTAGAGTCCCTGGTTGGTGTAGCCACTTAACCCACTTAGCTGCTAACTGAAAGGCTATAGTTCATGTCTGTGCAAAGGTACCGCAGTGTAGAAGCAAATTTTTTAAGAAGTATCTTAATCAGGCATTTCAAACCCTAAGGACCATAGTAACTCTGTTTTGACACACATAAGGTCACCTTAAGTCAGAGCTGTTTTGAAGACAACCGGTAACCCAAAGATCTGGTGACTGAGGTTTGCATTGCAATCCCAAAAACCAACAAATGCTCCACGGGAGAATGATGGGCAGTCTCCTCCCGTGAGATTAAATCCTTCTGAAAACCCACCAGAGGGTCCGCTGTGGGTCAGTTCCAACTCTACAATACAAACACACAACACAGAAGCAAGACTAGGCTAACAACAGTGAAATGTGGACAGGGAGGCCAGACCCACATACCTGGACAAGTTTTCACCAGCATCGGCTTGTGCTAGGGTGAGCCACCTGGAACTGGAGCTGTAGGTGGCCTATTAATAAAGAGTTGCCCTGCCAACCCAGACGCTGTCATTTCAAATCCACCAGCTGCTCTGCAGAGGGAAAGATGGACAGTCTTCTGAGATTTACTGCCTGTGAAAACCTGCTGAAGGATCAGCTATGAAGCGGTTCCAACTTGTTTCTATTTAGCAACATCAACAAAAAAACCAAGTATCAGCAAGTTAATGTGATGTGGCCTAATAATTCCTGCAAGAGAAATTCAGATGTATTGTGAAAGTAAGAGAAGGAAATATGTGGCCTAGTAACACGAAGCTGTGTGCCAAAGGCAAGAGGTTCAAATCCACAAGCTGCTCTGAGGGAGAATGAGCATTATCCTCCCATGCGATTTACTGCCTCTGAAAACACATCAGTGTGACTCAGTGGTACACAACATCACCCTGAAAGGTGACCCATCTGTACTCATCTGATGTTTATGAATTAATTGGGTTGGGTCAGAAATCTTGTTAGGCTGTGAGAGCACAAGAGGAAAATTGATAGAGTTTCCTCCCTGTGAGTGTGGTGCAGATGCTTCATGCCCGCATAAGGTTGGGCATTCAAGTCCATCTAGACGCATCTGAAAGAAAGACCTGACCATCTACTTCTGAATAAAACTAGCCATTGAAAATCTTGTGGTGCACAGTTCTGCTTTGACGTAGACGAGGGCACCATGAGCTGGAGTCCCATCAACAGCAACAGTGTTTTCTCCTGCTCTCTAAAGAGGCAGAAGAAAATGACACAGCGCATCACAAAATATGGTCTATTACCACCAATAATGCATAATGTAAGGAGGCCTGGTGTATAGTGGTTAGAACACTTGGTTGCTAACCTCACGGTTGGCAGTTTGAACTCCCCATCTGAGGGACAACCATGAAGCAATCTGCTCCCAAAAAGATGTACAGCCCCAGAAATACTAGGAGCAGTTCTGGGCCATACTGCAGGCTCACTGTGAATCAAAATGAACCTGACAGCAGAGGTGAGAGTATGTTGTTGTTGTTACGAGTCGTCGAGTCGCCTGTGACTCATAGCGACCCTATGTACAACAGCCCTAAACCTTGCTCTGTCCTGTGCTAATCGCACTGTCTCTGATACACCTACACCCATTACCCCAGTCCCTGAATCAATTTATCTCATTTAGGGTATTCCTCTCCTACGCTGTCCCTCCATTCTCCCAAGCATGACGTCCTTCTCCAAGAACTGGTCCCTCCTTACAACATGTCCAAAGTATGCCAGACAAAGCTTCAGAATCCTTGCCTCCAATGAGCAGCCTGGTTTAACCCTCTCCAGGACAAACCTGTTCATTTTCTTAGCCGTCCATGGTATATTCAGTAGTCTTCTCCAACACCACAGCTCAAAGGCATCAATTCTCCTATCCTGTCTAGTCATTGTCCAACTCTCTGATGCATAGCAAGTGATTGCAAAGACCATGACCTGTATCAGGCACACCTTAGTCTCCAGAGTGACATCGTTGCTCTTCAGTACTTTGGAGAGGTCCCTAACAGCAGACTTTTCCATCACAATATGTCTTTTCATTTCCTGGCTGCTGGTGCCAAGAGTGTTGACTGTGATAATAGCATCAACAATCAAACCTTTTAAAGCTCTCACTGTGTGCCAGACACTAGTCTAAGTACTTAAATCTTACCTTTCCAGTAATTTCTGTTTGAAGACAAGGACATTAAGGCACAAAGATGTCCGTTAGCTCAGCTCCTACAGGTGGCAGGTGGCAGAAGACAGATTTAAACACATGTTTTTACAACTGTGCCATCATGCTACAAGAGAATTTGAACTAGTACTAGAAAGTGGGACTTTAAATTCAGAAAACCCAGCGGAGGGTCAGTCATGAGTCAGCCCCGACTCCATAGTAGTGAAATTTATGAATCACGAAGACAAACATCTCTTATTCAAATTGCATTATTATTTTAATTGGCATTAGAAAAAAAAATACTGTTAGCAAATCAAATTCAAGACTCCACCAACCAGTATGGCCTAGGACAAAGCTAACTTTAGAATTAAGTGTACAAATAGAGTAACTCGGGAGTTCTGGTAGCCTAGTGGTAAGGAGTTGCACTGCCAACCCAGAGGAACGCGATTTAAATCCATCAGTTGCACCACACGAAGAAGATGGTCAATCAGTGTGGTTTACAGCCTTTGAAAACCCACTGGAGGATCATCTTTGAATGGTTCCTGACTTGACAGCGGTGAGGTCTCATAGTACTAAGCGTAGCAATGATAATATAATAAATGTTTTAGAAAATAAACAATCATGGAGGGAACATAGTGACTCTGAACAACAGACATGAATCCATCCTCATCATCTCTAGTATTTTAGGTGAATGTCCTGATCTTTTCTGAGCTTACTCCTGAGTGTTCTTTGTTGAGATTAGTGTCTTTCTTCCATCTCTGCTTGTTCAGCTGCTTATTTGGTCTCCTTATATCTCAAAACA